ATTTCGAAAGAGGCTTTCTCGGAATGCTTCCAACAATGGCGGCACCGCTGGGAGAAGTGTGTGGAGTCCCAAGGAGACTACTTTGAAGGTGATTAGGTTTCCAACGCTCCAGGTATGCCAGTTTTTATTCCCCGGCCAAAGGTCGGATACTTTTCTCACAGGCCTCGTATGTGTATGTGGTTATTCAAATGCAACATACATTAAATATGTTACCAACAGAATGAAATGGTTTAAAGTTTATTCATCTGAAGATTTATATGATTCACTAATATTTAGAGATTCTTTTATATAATGAATTTTTGATTATTACATAATTTGTAGAGAAGGTAATACAAACTCTTATCTCCCCATGTCTTACTCTCTCTCTGACCTTTAATTTACAGACTGTAATGACTGTTCTAGTACCCATACTGAAATAATTGTGTTAACTGCAAATAAAGTGGACATAAAACAACTCACAAGTACATTTTCCTTTTTTTTAAATTAATTCACTAAGAAAAATTACACAGTTTTTATTGTTGTACCTTTCAACCATCATCTTCATCAAGAATTATGTAGGGTTTACCAAAACTTTGGAGCTATTGCTAAATGAAGTTAGAGCCCAACTTTTCAGTTTCGCTAAAAATAGAAATACCTTCCTAATTAAAAATCATTATTAAAACAGTTATGGATTATCATAAAGATAATAATTAATTTGTTGCTGTTGCTTGGTTTACATTTACAATTTTCACAAATATAAAATTTACTTTTAATACAGAACATGATGGGAAATGATGATGAGAATGACTCAAAACTGGAAGTTATGGAAAGTGACGATTTCTTACACAAACTTCTTTCAAGGTTAGTTTTATCTTATATTGTCTACCATCCTAATATTAATTTAAAGATGTAATGTTCATGATACTTATATGTTTTTAAATTATAATTAACCTTTGTCTGAAGAATAAATATGTAAATGATTGTTATATACTTAAATACATACAAACAAAAACCACAAAATAATTAAACTGGAGATGTTTATAAAAGAAATAACTGTAAGATACGTTATGGGAGCAAACCTTTTTGGATTTAATAAGTATTTAAATATACTGTTACTATGTTTTTCTTTCTTCATCAACTGCATTTTTTTGTATGATTAAATATATATAGTGTAGAATTTTATGTTTGAAATATGGTTTACTTAGAAGTATGTAAAATAATTAAGTATTTTAATTCATTCAAAAATGCCCCAAACAGGCAGAAACAGGAGCGAAAACAAATGCAGATAAAACACCAGATGGAGCTGGCTGCTTTTATGCATCAAAAGAAGCATGTTTCTTGCCAAGGTGGACATAAGGGTAGTGACAGTGCAACATTTCCAAACAGAAGTTATTTCCAAACAAGAAGTGGATTGGTTCTAGGTCCAAAGCACCAGATAGTTCAACCTACAAGTTCTCAGATATTTAGTCCAAACTATTTTAGATGTGAAGAACCAGTGTCTCTAGTTGAACCCTCTCACCTTCCACATGTTCCTATAACAGTAGCTCATCCACACCATCCCCATGTCACCAACCTTCCTTATCATAGAAGAAGTATTCCAGGACGGGCACACGTAGAATGGGGAGAGAGCCTGAGGGCAAGACCTTTACATTGCTCCTTCTCTTATGACCACTTGTGTAACTTTCAACAGCTTAGAGATAGATCACTAGTGCCTATACAACATACTCTTGCCCAACACTTCACGGGAAACTTGGTAAATGAAAATGTTGACAAAAGCAGTCATCAGGTTAGTGGATTTCCTGATTCAAAGATGACTCTTAATGAAGTTCCAAAACAAGGACTGATGAACGATCAATAATATATTCCTACTGGCTATTTTTTAAGCCTAAAACCCCTTTTCAAGATAAGATACCAAAGGTAAAAATCCTAACCAGAATGACTATGGTCAGATAAAGAGAACCAACTGACTGTTAGCTTCATCCAGGACTTATAAATAATATGTGCACTGGATCTCAGAACCCCAGACCGTAACCATGCATTGACATAGAAAAAGAAAGAAGTTAGTTTTATATATTTTATTCAAAAAAAGCATGCTAAGTGTTTGAATTTGTGATAATATATATTGTATAAATATGGCTAATGCTTTTGATCTGTGTAAAAAAAAGAAATTAACATAATCAGAGTCAACTTATTGTATGAATATCTAATACAGAAAGAGCTGTATATGTTATTCCACAAAGGTTAGTGATATGGTTCTAATTTTATCAGAGTTGTGGGATACCTACTAATAATCACCTTTTCTAACAAGACATTCTGGGCTTCTGATTGTCAAAGGGATTTCTTCCTCTTCCAAAATTCCAATTTAACCACTTGTTATTTCTTTTCAATATTTCTCTGCAAGTATACAAAGTGCAGATAATATATTATGTAGCCTTACACTAAGAATACAACAACAACTGTTTAATTTTAAAAAATTTCATAATTTCAAATGACGATTCATGTCACATACGAAATTCTGCTTGTGTAGTTAATCTGCAGAATTCATTGTAAAGCTGATGTTACCTGTATATAGTGGCACAAAAACCTTTTCTTACACACAAATATTTAACAACTATTATTCTTTTAAAATAATTCATGAAACAAAATGTCAAAGATTCAGTAGTAGTTAATTATTGTAATTCAGGTCAAGATTGATAATCCAGCTTTCTCTAATTTTCGAATTATACCCCCCCCCCCTTTTTTTTTACACTATACATTCTGAGTGAAATGACCAAATCTTGAGCATTTCTCTGCACAAAAACTTTCAAAAGTGAATACACCATAACTATGTTTACACATATAGGTTTATTTTAGAGATGTAATGATACAGTAAAATGAGCACACCTTGGTAAAAAACATTAGACTACACTAAGCAAATCGAAGAAAAAATGTCTTTAAAATTTACTTACTTACTGTCAGTTCACCTGCATCTCCAGTTTTTTACTTATTTACTGCTGATTCACCTGCATCTCCAGTATTTTACTTCTTTACTACCAGTTCACCAGCATCTCCAGTCTTTTACTTATTTACTGTTGGTTCATCTGCATCTCCATTATTTTACTTCTTTACTGCCGATTCACCAACATCTCCATTATTTTACTTCTTTACTGCTAGTTCACCTGCATCTCCAGTCTTTCACGTATTTATTCCCGATTCACCAGCATCTCCAGTCTTTTACTTATTTACTGCCGATTCACCAACATCTCCATTATTTTACTTCTTTACTGCTAGTTCACCTGCATCTCCAGTCTTTCACTTACTTACTGCCGATTCACCAGCATCTCCAGTCTTTTACTTCTTTATTGTTGGTTCATCTGCATCTCCAGTCTTTTACTTCTTTACTGCTGGTTCACTAGCATCTCTAATCTTTTACTTATTTACTGCCGGTTCACTAGCATCTCCAATCTTACAAGAGTTATTTAAAATTTATCTTTTGTTTTTCTCTGTTTATCGATGTCCAATCAACACTGCATTTTGCAATTATATTTATAACTTTCAACTATATTTCTGTACCTTTAAATTGTTTGATGTGTCGTCTTAAAATAACAGGATTCGAAGCTATATTATTTCATTTATCTAACACAAGTAACCTCCCATCTCGAGGGTAAACACCCAGTTGACAAGTGATAGTTTTGCTGCCACAGTTTATGTGCGTTATATACACGCTGTTTTTCCGAGGTGTTATAAATATTAATTCTTGTGTTGAAACTGAAGGATGAAGTTATTTAACAGTTAATCAGCCCCCCAGTAGCACAGCGGTATGTCTGTGGACTTACAATGCTAGAAACCGGGTTTTGATACCCATGGTGGGCAAAGCACAGATAGCCCATTGTGTAGTTTTGTGCTTAACTTCAAACAAACAACAAACAAACAAACAGTTAATCATTACTTAAACCTATCTATGAAGAAAATATTTTTTCTTTTTGTTTTCCAAAAACATACCAAGCACAATTATGGAAAGACTGATTTGGTCATGACAATAATCAAAATGCATTCAGGTTTATTCCCGATTTTCATTTAATGAAATTAGGTCATTTCTAAAAGCTATATTATTTTACCTCAGTTTTAGAAGTAGTTAAAAATCAATGATACTGCTTACCAAACAAAAGGCTGTACGAAGTTTTTATCACATTGATACCACGTTCCTATTTTTATAAAAAGTAACTTGTTTGTCCTTTACAGTCACCGTTATTTTTATATCCATGTTGCCGTGTTTTATTTAACACGGGGTAGGTGTGGCCTAATAGTTAATATGCTTGGATTGCAGATCTCAGGGTTTATGACTCGTTTCCTGTTGCCTCCTTAGTTTGGGACCATAGGTGCGTTATAAAAATGTTGATGAAATTCCAGTACTAGGCCAGATAAAAGTACCTCTTCTACTTTATCAGTTCAAAACTAGACACAGCTAGGCCCTTTACGAATGTATGCGTGAAGATTCTTAACAAACGAAAAAGAAAACAGTTCAAAAATAAAGGTGAGGCCCAATTTATTATTAGATTCAACACATGTCACATGCCAAACAATTTCAAAATGTAGTTCTAATACCTTCTATTCCACTACGACTTTATATCAGCTGTGCTTGTCACATCCTTCGCAGAATTGCATATTCAAAATCGTTCTGATTTCATATTCATATCTGTATATATGGTGGTTTTGCCCTGAACACCACACCTTTCAGTTTATAGTTCACCACTACAAGAAGCCTACTCTTTTTTTTTTTTTCGATTTGCCCTTGTCAAAAGTTATTGACAAGAGGTGGCATACCCCGAAACCAGTATAACTCAGTGACAAGTGGTGAGTTAAATGATAACTTGTACTTCATACTTAATTTTAGCATCTTAAATAGCTTATATGTTAAATAATTCTGTAGAATTTATTAATAGGGTAAATGCTACATATTTTTCAAACCTTATGTAAATATAGGTTTACTGTGGTAAGTAAAGGACAACTAAAACATACATAAACAATTTATGACAAACACCTTTGTAATAAGTTTATTAACGAAGCAAGATAGTGATAATAAGAGCCATATAATAAATCACCAACACTAAGATTAGCACATTTTTGTTTTGTTTGATTTAACTATACAGTACGACATTAACAATATCCAGGAGATATGCAATTGTCCCTGGAAGAAAGTTAAACGTATTATCGACTCTAATTTAACACTACATCCAGTTCCCTGGTAGTTCAGAGATAAGTTTAAGGTCTTATAAATTTAAAAGTGTGTTTTCGAAACCCGCGATGAGCAAACCACAGATAGCCCATTATATATTTTTGCGGTTAATAACGTACAAACACTACATCCATAAAATACTGAGTTAATTTGTCTCGGTCCCCTGGTGGCTTAGCAATAAGCTTGGGAACTTATAACGCTAACACTAAGGGTTCGTTATCCGGATGGGCACAACAGAGATACGGAAAAACAGTCAATGTCATTAGTGATGGTGATGATTGTGTGTTAATTTTTAACGAAATTATTGGAAAAAGTTCTATAAAGGTATATTTTTATTTTAAAGAAAATATAATTAAAAGTGTCTACAACACATGAAATGATTTTCTTCTTTTTTCGCGTTTTTAAAAGGGCTTAGAATTCTATACATATTGAGCTCGCTGACATTTCCTCTCATTTTGCTTGGCTCATCGTTCTCGTGACCTCACGTTTAACATGAGCAGACTGTACGAGATTTACAAGTTCGTGTGACTCCTAGAAGTACAGTGTTGGCGTCTGTCTACTTTGAATCGAGCAGACAAAAACTGGATAATCTCTCGTGGGAAGCATCAAGGCCTCTCTATCACTTCTAATGTTCTATATAACTGTGATGGTTACGTTTACATAACACAACAGTTAGGCCTCGAGCACTCCTGCACTAACTCGTGAGTCGGCATGCCGAGTTGGAGTGCTGGGTGTTTTAAGCCACTAGAAAAACGAGAACGTAAGTTAACTTACATTTGTTTTGTAGCAGTTTAACTTGAAAAAATTATACATAATGAGTATATTAATATTGAATAGTGTCCTAATCAAAACACACACGAGAAAGAAGTCCTTGATCAGTGATTACTTACAACTTACAGCTTTTATATATTTCGCTTTCTTCAGTGAGTTGTGTAGTTAACGAGTACTAAAATTAATATCACTAATACGAAGTAATAGTGTAAATGACTTACTAAATGAATTTTGAGGCCTAAAGTGAAGTATGCCTGTGACGATAAGTTTAGAAATGAAGTTATTGATAATTGGTGTTTTAAGAATTAATGACATGTCAGTGCACGAAAAGCAACGAAAATGAAACTGTGAAACATTTCTTAATTACGACTTACAAGTTAGAACTTACAGCTGAAGTACGTTTTCAATTTTGTGTTAAACTTATTAATGTACGTTATCACACAATATCAGTAATTTCTCATCAAACTACCTATATAGATCAGAACTACAGTAATTAATATAGGTAATTTAATATATTGATATAACTAGTATGATTGTTCAACCCAAAAAGTAGGGCCTACCGTGTAAAAGTTGGTACAAAACTCTTTAATAAATAAATAGTACCGTTGGAACCAGAATTGCATACTTTATATCAAAACCCACTCTCGTCTCTCAACTAGGACTGGAGGAACAGTAGCTCCCTCTATTCGCATACCTATGATTTGTGATTAATTTTCTCATACTGAAGATTTGTTGATATATGTACTTATGTAGTTATTTTCATATGAAAAAGCTTTCGGGTTTAGTATAAATATCGATAAGTGTTCAGTAAAGAACATCACAATATTTATTTTATGATGACTGAGTTTGGAAATTTTAAAAATTACTTACAGCAATGCTTCTTGAACGTGATTGGAAACTTTAATAAAAGGTAATAATCGTATTGATTGTTGAATGAATGAATGTTTTTTTATCTCAAGAGTGAATTGCCCATTTTTATCTGAAACGTGATCGATCTGAATCCAACTGTTTTTTTTAAACATTACTTTTCATTACGTATCTTAAACATGGTCAATCGCATACTTCATAAAATGAAAATGTTCATGAATAAATATGAAACGTGATCGATTCCAGTTCAAGACGCTGTGATTTTAACTTGCTGGCTTTGGTTGTTTCATTATTTCTTTAAATGGGCTGCCCCTACTGTTTCTTGAGTATGACTAATTCCGCAATTTTTCAGTCCCTCTCTCCATTTCCTAAATGTAGTAGGAGTACTAAAATATTAAGAATTTAA